TGAATCAACATGCTCTCTGACTCCACCTCATGAGCCCAACTGGTTTTAAAAATAGTAATAATAATAATATTGTCATTCAGCTATTTAACATGGTTGTGAATAAAAGTCACAGTCGAGAGGAAAAGAAGATCAATGCATGTTTTCAGATATTAAGAATGCCAACTTAGAAGACTGATTTTCCAGTGTTTCTTGCTACATTTGTATCTATAGAACTGCATACATTCAAGATCTAAAGCCTTAAAAAAGAATTTTGTGAGAAAAGAAACCTAATAAATATGTATAATTCTAAATGATTTGGTTTATTTTCAAAATCCCTTTTATTTTGGGAAGAAAATCACTTTATAAAAACTTACCCAAACATAGACATTATTTTATAACATTTTTACTAATAAAATAAAAAGCATTATGAAAATTGCCACAACTATAGAAAATAGCCATAATCTGCTATAATAGTCAGAATATTAGAGTAAGTATTCTGTGGCTTACTACTTCAAGGAATTCACAAAATTAATATAAAATTAAAGCTGTTTATTCTTCAAACCCCCAGACCCTACTCATGGCAATAAGACGGAATTTCCTTAGACTAAAATGGTGACAAAGTGATGAGAGAAAGAACACATGCATTAGAAAATGCAAAGGAAAAAGCACCTTAGATACATGCACCTGATCACAAGGTAAATCCCCCAGTGATGAATGTTTACCTTTGGTGTATACCTTACCAGTAATTCTGACCCTAACCAAAACAATCATTAGGATTATTATCTTCAACCTTGGCTTCAAATCCTCACCTTATCTCCCATATCCACAAAATCTGTAATACACTTCCAAAAGATATAAATCTCCCATAACTGCCAAAATTAGCAGTCCCAAGGATATCTGACTTTTTGACAGTTTCAGTGCCTTAGGCTAAAAGAACAGAGCTTTAATTAAATGTTCAGGGACCAGCGTTGGTAATCTACCCTAAAATGGTATTTCATAGGCCAGTTCGAACTAGCAAACAGTCAAGTAATAATAACCTGTCCAGGCTGAGTTTAAATTTTTTCAGTTTGAAAACCAAATTAAGCTAGGTTTCTGGGTTTTAAAAGCCACAGAAGATTTCTTAATTGGTAACAAGAGCAGCCAAGCAGGTAATGATTTTTAACCATCTTGCAAATGGAACAGACATAGGCTCAGAGGCTGGGAGACTGGAGGTGACAGTATAAAGAGATCCAAAAGGATGAGGGAGGCTATAAGGAAAACAAAGCCTGTAAGAACTGGTAGTTCTTCTCACCACACAACGTTTAAGGTTCAGCAGATAGGTGACATTACTTTCTTGACAATTTAAAAATGGATAAACAATATATGCAAAAGCTTTTTTACTGCTAACTATTTCAGTACATTCTTCTACATAAAGACCTACAGAGAAAGTCTTGACATTGGCAAACTTTAGGCACAATCCCCTCCAAAAATAAAAGTCCTTTAAAATATGAAATAAAGAATTCTAAGAACAAAATAATAAATGATGGAGAATATCTATGTTGTTTTATACATATATTTCCAGCTCAGTACAGCTCATAAGTAACCTGGTAACACGACAAAAATATCTTACTATCTTCAGGAACAGTGTACACAAAAAGAATCAAGAACAATGAAATAAAGGAAAATTTATTTCCTTTACATCAGTTCCACTTGGGGGGTTAGGGGTGGTGATAATGAAGTAAAACTGCATTTCTCTTCAAAAGAAACTTCTCTGTTAAAGAATCATAGTGACTGGTTTGACTGGTTCCACTCTATTCCCTGTCATCTCTGTACCTTGGAATGCTTCCCAAGTGGTTCAGATGGTAAAGTGTCTGCCTGCAATGTGGGAGACCAGCGTTCGATCCCTGGGTCGGGAAAATTCTCTGGAGAAGGAAATGGCAACCCACTCCAGTACTCTTGCCAAGAAAATTCCATGGACAGAGGGAGCCTGGTAGGCTACAGTCCACAGGGCACAAAGAGTTGGACATGACTGAGCAACTTCACTTCTTTTTTGTACCTTGAGAACTCCGGCCTTTGCTTCCACCCCTTTTAAGTGTTACTAAACCCACAGGAAGGCTAAGCCATAACTGGCTTAGTAGTAGAGCAAGAAAAATTCCCAAAGGCCAAACAACATTATTCTGCTTCTGGTCATTCTTCACAGTTAAGTGATTTCACATGTGTGCTCTGGAGTTGCAGAAACCTGAGCTAGAATCTTGGCTCCACCATATATATACTAGATTATATAAATTTAGGAAAGCTTCTTAACTTCTGTGCGCATCCTACTGCTTCTTCATCTAAAAAAACGGGAATGGTAGTAATAGTGCCTCCCTTTCAAGATTAGTATGAAGACTAAGTGAGACATTTAACATTTAGCCCATTGTCTAGTCTTAGTAAATTCTCAATATGAACTAACCAACATAAGCTGTTGAAATTCAAGATAGCCCATGGCTCAACACAATTATTTTTCCAAACTGGTATCACTAAATTGTGACCAGCACTGTAAAAAAGAACTTGCTACTAAAACAGAATAGAAAATAATAGGGTGCAATAAGGGTAAGTAATGTTTTGAAAATCTTTTTTTCAGACTCAAACACATTCTCTCAACTGAGCCTCCCAGTTTTTCTTTATTGCCTTCACTATGTAGTCTTCAAAAGCAGCATATCTGGCTCTTCTTCAGGGTACAACAGCATTTTGTACAAAACTCTACAACACTTACTACAGTGGGCTTTACATATGTGTCTCTCACATTAGAATGTAAACTCCAACATTGCTATCAGAGAAATGCAAATCAAAATTACAATGAGGTGTTGCCTCACACTCTTCAAAATGGCCACCATCAAAAAATCTACAAACAATAAATGCTGGAGAGGGTATGGAGAAAAGAGAACCCTCTTACACTGCTGGTGGGAATGTAAATGGGTATGGCCACTATGGACAACAGTATGGAGATTCCTTTAAAGATAGAACTACCATATGACCCAACAATCCCACTTCTAGAGAAAAATCATAATATTTTATTTTAGTTTTTATAAACCAAAACTAGAAAAAAAATATAATTTGAAAAGATACACGCAAGCCAATGTTCACTGCAGTACTATTTACAATAGTCGGAACATGGAAGCAATACTAAACGTCCACCAACAGAAGAATGGATAAAGATGGCACATATAGACAATGGAATATTACTCAGCCATAAAAAAGAACAAAATAATGTCAGTTGCAGCAACATGAGTAGACCTAGAGATTATCACATTGAGTGAAGCCAGATAAAAAGACAAATATCATAATGAACTTATTTACAAAACAGGAATCACAGATGTAGAAAACAGTCTTATGGCTAACAGGGGATAGGGGAGGGCAGGGACAAACTGGGAGACTGGTAATGACATAAACATATACTGTATGTAAAATACATGGCTAATAACAACCTACTGCATAGCACAGGGAAATCTACTCAATACTTGGTAATAGCCTATAATGGGAAAAGAATCTAAAAAAATAGTGGATGTATGTATATGCATAGCTGATTCACTTTGCTGCACACTTTGAAACTAACACAAAATGGTAAATCAACTATACTCTAGTGAAAATTTAAAAAAGGATGCAAACTCCACGGAAGCTACCATTTATTATCCTCTATTTCTAGTATCTGAAAAACACTGCCAGCTCAATAAATGTTTGTTGAATGAATCATTAAATCATTAAAATCTAATAGGCATTAAAACATATAAAAATATTTAACTGTTTTCATTTATCACTATCTGACTGGGTTTTATTATTGTATAAAATTTTAATTTAGCCATATAAGTCACACACACACACACACACCGCCAATAAAGCTGTTCTTCCTCCCAAGTGCCTTGTATACTTCCTTCCAACTGGAAATGGTGAATAATGTTTACTTAAGAAACTGAAATGAGTGGTGTGCACAATGATCTTTGAAAAGTAGAACATCAAAGCATAAAAATGTGCTGCACAGGGAACCAGCCACATTCATGTTTGTTAGGGGCAAATAAAGTTAAGGAAGTTACTAGTTAAGGAAAGTTTACTAGTTAAGTAAAGTTAAGTTACTAGAAAAGCTTGCTGCTTCTATATAATAAACTGTCCAAGGATCCTCTTTCACAGGGACTGCAGGTACCACGAGAACATATCTAAATAACAACACTGGGAGGGTAGCTGCTTGATTACTTCATACGGAGGTATATGAGAAACTTTAGTATTTTCAACATTTAAATATTATCACTATCATTTTTCAATTCTACTTAAATGTAAGAACGGAAGTTATATAAATTTACCAACTCTTTCACTCCATCACAAAAAGGCAAAATGCTGGAAATAAATTATAAAGAAACACTTTTCATCGTGCTTACAGATGTCAAAAGCTCACAATTTACTAAATTAAGGTCACATGTAAAATTTGGCTTTACATTTGCTTAAAAAAAAAAGAATAAATGCAAATTAATGAGGCTCAAATTTTAAAGGCATGGGTTCTTTTATAGTAATCTTCCAAAATATTTGTTTCTAAATCCTTAACAACTTGAATGAAAAACTGGAAGTTTCCAATTTATAAGATTATAACTCTCTTGATATAGTAAGCTATATATATGAAATAGGGGTGGGGGGGTGATATCGCTATTTAAGATTCAGGCATTTTGCTTCCTCCCCCCTAATTATCGCAAATGGTAATTTTACCTACTCTAAACCTGTTAAACATCTAAGGAAATAACTACTTCACAAAAACTTCCTTCCTTCCTTCCCTTTGTCACTTTAAACATATCTTAAGTTATGAAACTTTACTTCAAAGTAATTTGTTAGGCTAAAACAGTAAGTCAAGTCTTAATAGTTAACACTGATTTACTGAAGAAAGAAAAAAAGATGAGCTGTGATAAATACTCTTAAACAAAATTACCAAAGAGGCAACAAGTTGTTGCTACTTATTAAAAATTCTTCCTTATATTTGAAATGGTAATTTTAACAACCCTAGTAAGGGTGGCAACACTCACCAGTATGAATCTTCTCATGTCTCTGTAGCAGGTACTTCTGTATGAAACGCATGTCACATTGACTACATTGAAATGGTTTTTCACCTTAAAATAATTTCACATCCACAAATTAGTTACTGAATAAAACACAGTTTAGAGTCAACTATTTCTGAGGAAAGAGAAATCTTAGAAGCCCAAATTCTGAAAAATTGCAAATTATGCATACAAAGGTTTTATACTATTCATTAACAGAATTTTATTTCCTCTCAATTTCCACCCGCCCCCAAGATTCAAAATTTCACATTCTCACAACCACACAAAAATTAGACTGAATATGATCTATATCCTTCAAGGGGAAAAAAAAGTAAATAAATAAAACAATTTACAATAGAATTTAAAACTCATGATACTAAAAGGCCTCCACAGGTTACCAAGTGTCTTAAACAGCTTTGCTTTCTTTGTGGAGGAAGATCCACCTACCTTGTTCTCCCTGGCTAACCACCACTTTATGCCTTTTCACTTTTTTCTCTAGAACCTTCAAAACTTTCTAAACATCCCCTTAAAAAAAAAACAATCCTGTCTCTTCAAACATTCCCTCTCTGTTGGAGCCTTTCCTTTCATAGTCCAACCTATGTCTCAAATTCTTCACCACCCATTTGTCCTTTAACCCTTATACTCTGCTTTCTTAAAAGATAATAGTAAAAAAAAAAAAATACTAGTGATCTCCTTGCTATTTATTCTAAGGATCTGTTTTCAATTCTCTCTCTTGCTCTTGCTCTTTCTCTCTCCTCTCAGAAGGTTGTGCAGTTACTGATTCCTCCTTGGAATTCTCTCCTCTTTTGGTTTCTGGGTGTATTTTACCAGTTCATCAAATCTACCTTATTATTTATTACTCTGTCTCCTTCCCCACCCTCTAACTCAACATACATGTCTAGTAATATTTCCCCAAAGATCTGTGATCAGTCTTTTGCTCTGATCTCCACAACTTTATGGTCTAACTTTTTATATTTGATTCCAAATTCATATTTCAAATTCCATCTGGACATCTTATACAGAAAAATAAATGTTGACAGGCTTTTAATAGTTCATTCTTTAACTGTTTCTCTGGTTAAAAAGAATACATTAAGCCAAATAAAGTGTTTAACTAAGCTAATTAATTTTGCACATCCACGCTAATTGTTTCCTCATTTAAAGTTTTCCTTGGTTTCCTTGTGACACCCTGGCCTATGAAAACTCTGATTTAAAATGCCAGGTTAACTACAGTCTTAGGAATGAATGACATTTATAAGAAGATGAAAATAGCAAAGATAATAATTTTAATGGCCATAAGCCCACTTTAATTCAAGAAATACCTGTATGAATGAAGACATGTCTCTGTAAGTGATAGTTCGTTCTAAAGGCAGCATTGCAGTGCTCACAAACGTGAGATTTAGGGGTTTTCAAACCAAGTGATCCATCCTCATTTATTGTAAGGATCTGGTTTAAAAAAAAAAAGGCAAAACAAAAGAAAGAAACTTTTAAAATGTAATACTAATTATAAAAAAGATAATGCCTTTTAATGCAAACAGTGGTCACCAGAGATTATGAAGTATTTTTTTCCTAGATAATCTTGAGAGGGCTACTGGAATAATTTTATCATTATTTGAAGAAAGTACAATGTGACTCAGAGTGGGTAAAAATTACTAATAAAACCTTGGAAACTGGTTAAGTAAAATTTCAGCATTGTGTCCTCTCCTCTCCAAAGCTGATGTCTAATAGAGTCCCCAAGTGTTCTCTGTTAGGATGAGTATAGTTTTATTTTCAACTTTAAAATATCACATATGCAGTACAAGTCTTATGTTCTAGACATGGTATAAATATCAATCAGATAGGAATGGTTAAATAAATCATGAAAAATGAATACAATTTAATATTACGTGGTTGTGAAATAAAAAGAGAAAGCTCTTTATATTCTTATATAGAAAGAGCTCCAGGATTTGCTCTTAAGTAAAAAAAAAAAAAACAAAACAGGGTTTAGAATCTAGTATATAATTTTGTTAAGTTTGAATATAAGATAATACATACAGCAATATATATGTTTGCATATGCATAAAAGCTATTTGAGAAGGATGTACATAAATGTATATAAATTTGGTCGTCATGGCTGAGAAACTTGGCAGAAGATATGGTAGGAGAGAGACTTTACACTAAACATACTTTAAAGTATTTTTCAGAACCATACAAATGCTTACCTATTTCATTTTCCTTTTTCTTAGAGAAGTAAAAAGGAAAACTGTTTTTAAGTCAACCTAGAATACTATTTGGAGTCAGAACGGTTCTGTTAAGGACCTCTAAGGTTATTCTAAGACTACCAAACTATTGTTAAGCATATTCCTTAATAAATTAGAAGGGTATGGGGGAAGGAAGGCAGGTGACAAAGACATCAACCTTAAATGCCTGTGCTTCCTGAGGTTGACAGTATCTTGGGCAAGGTCTAAACAGTGCCAGAGAGAAGTTCACTTTTGGGGTTCATGTCTTCCAGTTTAACCACCATTTGTTCAACACACAACATTTAAACTGCCTCTCTCACCAGCCACGTGGCAGAGTAAAAATAACAAATAATCCCTTTTTTCATTATTGAGGAGAGAAGAAAGATGACAAAACATGATGTGAACATAAGCAGCAAAGAAAACTAGGAGGTAAGATCAGGAGGAATATGGCAAGTAAGAAGCAAACAGTAGTGGAGGTGGGAACATAGAGAGTAGAAGCCAAGAAACTGTGTCACACACAGGATACAGAAATCTAACAGACATCTTAAGAAATACAAAGGCCTGTGGAAACTGATTAGGGCCTGTAAATACACAGCTATGACCCCTGTCCCAAAACTTAGAGGGCTAGGTAAGGAAAAAGGGCTTTAGTTTTTAAAAAAATTTTTTTTCAGTTTAAATGCAGGAACACATTTCAGACTACACTGTATGTAAATCAATGGTAATTATTATGCTAATTATACAGGGCATGTGGATTCTAGGCAAACTGCCAATGTGGTCAACAATGCTTCAAAGTCTATGAACCAAAGTCACAGAGGGAAACATTTGGCAGGAGAATCCAACTGGGTGTCACAGCTTCCTGAAGAGTCAGTGAGAACGGAAAGTTTCATCTCTGGTCAGTCTAAAATTTTTTCAACCCCTCAAAGTCACAAAATAATATTCAAATTAACACTGTGTAAAACAAACAAAAAAAAAAAACAAAAACTTTTAAAACATGACTTAAAATATTTCTAACATAAAACCAGGAACAAAAAGATGTTTAACATTTTATACAAAACAGACTAAAAACAAGATAGCACCAGGTATTTTTTTCTCATATGTTGATAACAAGTAAGATCCAAGTGCCAAAAAAAAAAATGGCAGCTCAATAGCTTTCTGTGGCATAGCAACTACACAGAAAGGTTCTGTAAGGAACAAATCTGGCCCAAGTTACTGAATGTGAAACGGATATAATCCTTGACTGTACAAAGCCTTTTTATGAAGAGTTAAGGAGTTCTAGGTCATTGTTTACTCACTGGAGGTAATACTGCCTTTCACTGTGGACTCCAAGCCTTAATTCAAGGTGGATTTTATGGATGAAAGAGCAAACACTTACTTGTGGATAAGGAGACTGAAAACAATCTAGCACATTTATAAGTTCGATGACAAAAAATAATCAAATTGCTGAACATTTTACATTGAATTTTATATTATTTTCTGCTTTTCTTAGGCCAGGGGAACACATATCTTTGTATAAAAGACACAGAAGAAAATTATCTTGCCATAGAAGAGCACCACTGGCTCTTCCAACTTGTAATCTGTTTTTACGTATAACCGACAGATTTTGCCCGTTTTATTCATCACTATAACCCCAATACCCAAATTGTACATAGTAAGACTCAGTGCCTATTGATAATAGCAACCTACTACCCATACCAAACATCCTCACCACTTAACCACTGCTATTCGTAAGTTTCTACAAATTCACTAAGCAGCATCATAGAAAAAGGTGTGTAAAGAATGGGTATGTAAAGAACAAAGTTTCTTGGTGGAAGAGAAATGGCTCATTAACGCAGGTAAAATTACCTTCCTTGGTATAGACTTGGTTTCTTTTCCTGTCCACAGCCTTTCCAGATCTTTTAGTAAAATTGATCGACCAGTTAAGTGTATTTACCTTAGAGATTAGCTGTCTTACTTAACAGTACCATAAAATATTTTTGCTTTTCTTTTTCCTTCAGCATATGAAAACTATTACAACTGAAGCATTTGAAATTTCCAAGTTTAAACCCTAAAGGGTCTGCAAGACAAGACAATAGTTTGTCTTGACTCCTGTCATTTCGACTTTTGGAGAAATATGGTAATTGTAAAGATCAAGCAATTGGGCTTTATCAAGAGTAAAGAAATTGGTAATAGTCTAAATAAGACTCTAAATATTAACTGTTTTCTTAACTGTTTCACAAGTTTAAAACAGAATTTTTCAGTAAAATGTTTCAATACCAAATGAATTCCTCAATCTGCTTTCTTAATCTCACAGTCCATTAGCAAAGACATTTTTTGTTCTGAGATAAATCTGTTCCCTGCCAGCTATCAATATACATAGCAATGGCTATGTTAAATAATATACCAATTTTTAACTAACAAAGCACTAAGCTCTGCCTATTCAATTCAGAGATTTTTGACTCTTCAAGGGTCACTGCCACCAATTAGCCAAAACCTGACACCCCTTCAGTGAGAAAGTTTTGTTCTCTTAAAAGGCAGACATGATTTCCCTCGTTCCATACTGGAAATATTAAAGTATATTTTAAACTAATAATTATAGGTTTTACCATACATTCTTAATCAACTGATTTCTAAATCACCAAAATGCAAAATAACAATTTGGAGGAATAAATTTCTCACCTGTCACATTTTATTGCAACTGGAAAATGAGATCTTCTATAATTCCCTTTACAATCCAAACCCAACTAGAAATGGAAGAACAGTGCAACCCCAAAGACATACAACAAAACAACAAAGTAGCCCACAGCAATACCTACCCTCAACATCTCTGACCATCCTAGTTATCACTAACATTCCATCTTCACATCATTACTTTCTTTCATTCTCCCTGATTTTTACCGTCTCTCAGTACTTGGTTTTACTTATTACCAAATTTAATTTCTAAATGGCAAGCTTTTGCCAGTGCAAAAACATGAAATTCACTATATCATAAGCATGGTATATGTAACTGGTGTTCAGGAGAATGACCGAGAGCTTTAGAAAAGGTTTTTCTCTCATATTTCCTAAATATCAGGCAAAGATGTATATGATTTTTTTAAAAAGAAAGATTTACATCCAAATATTTTTAAAATTTATGGTTTGGCTCTGTGGAAAAATTATATACCCAGAATTCAAAATTCCCTAGGGAAATTAGATAAATAAATAAAATACTTATACTTTTCCAGTTTTTCTCTTAAGTACTATTTCATACTTCCATCCCTAGTCTTACAATCAGTTATTTACCTTAAAGCTACTTCTTTGACAATCAAGTTAGTTTCATGAGGAAGACAGTTTGACAAATAGCTAGTATTTCTAGCCTTTCAATTAAATTTTCCTCAATTTAGAATTTTTTTTTTTTTTTAAAGAATTGAACCCTGTTCCTTTCTTCAGTATGCTATAAGAGATCCTGGCACATTAACAGGCACTCAGATTAACTGCTTAGAGAATGAAAAGGATATATATTTCAGAATAAGAAGTAGGTAACCAAAAAGCACTCCACTCTAGCACTATTAAGGAGTTTGAAAAGACCTAAAAGATGTACATAATACTGGGTTAAGATAGTGTGGTTACATCTTTACTGAAAAGATTCTTAGAGTTTATCGATGTTAATTCAACAATCCTCATAAAACCCTTCTGTGGTGGAAAACATTCTCACTTAATTCACAAAACAAGTCAACAGCAAAGTCAGGTGGCAATACCTCATTTATCCAGAAACTTTCAAAATCAAGATTTGAGATTCTCAAACTTAAATGTAAATTACAATTATCTTGGACTCTTTTTAGTACGAGTGGAAACCCCCTGGATAAGAATCTCTGGTGATGGGGCCTGAGTATTTATAACTGGAAAAGCCCTATGAGTGATCTAATGCAGAGCCACAAGACCACTGCCATGAATGCACTGAGACTGAATGAAGGACACTCAGGCTTTTCATACATTTCTCATAACTGTAGTTCTCTATAGTCCTAATCCACAAGGGGAAAAAAAGACAGTCAAAGTGTCGATGGAAGGTGATGTCAAGTGGCCACATAGATCTAGTAATGTAAAAATGAACAGTATGTCATTAAGGCATGAGAGGATGAAGCACTTATAAGCAGTCAAAAAAAAAAAAACTTAAAAACTAGCAGTTAGGATTTCTTAGTGTGTGTGTTTGAGTGGAGGTGGGGGGGGGACCCTAACATCTCAGTCCTCCCAGAGGGTTTCACTATGATACATATGGTTTTTTTTTAATGCTTACAACATGAACCCCAAACCATTAAAAGCTGAATTATGTTCAAATGTACTATGTTTTAAAAGAAAACAATATATTAAACATTTCTAACAAAGTGGTTGAAATAAAACTAAATTTAAACATTTAAAGGGGACAAGTTTTTATCATGTAGAAAATTCACTTTCATAAAACAACTTATTCCATGACAGTATCAAATTACTTGACCAAGATAACCCTCTTCTTTAGACATGCTGCCAAATATATTCTGTCAATTTTCAAGTAGCAAATATACCTTAAGATGACTAAGCTTTGCCATACGATAAAGGATCAGAAAGCAATTATTGCTTAAAATTCATGGCAGCTAAAGATGACATAATATTGCAGTATTTCTCACCACAAAGCTTACCTGGAAGGGAGCCAGGTCTATATGGATCTATAAACTCTAACATTTTTACTGAAAGTCAGCAAGATAACTTCATCTATATTTCCTGTGCAGATCCCCAATCTAACATGATATAAAGGGGACACATACTCAAAATATTCATAATGGCAAAAATTCAAGATTTGTGAAAAGTGTTGGTGGAGAGTAGAGTCCTCTAAGCACTGTTGCAGTGGTCGCTAAATCATGTCCAATTCTTGTGACCCCGTGGACTATAGCCCACCAGGCTCCTCTGTCCATGGGATTATCCAGGGAAGAACACTGGCATGGACTGCCATTTCCTTCCCCAGGGGATCTTCCTGGCCCAGGGATCAAACTTGCATCTCCTGCAGTGGTTCCTGCAGTGCAGCACTTTCTTTACTGCCAAGCCACTGGGGAAGTCTCTAAGCATAATACACTACAATTATTTGAGAAACTTATAGTTGCTTTTAAGGAATTTAGAACAAGTAACACTGATTTCTAAGTAAGAGATAAGCTTTTCCTTCTCTTAATACAAAAAGGGGAGAGTTACTTTAATGAAAAATCTGAAGTGTGAAATTTTTTTTTTTTTTGAAGTGTGAATTTTTAAACACAAGTTCAAAGTTCTGAGAATCCAGACACAAACCACTCATCTGGACACTGCAAGGCCAGGGTTAAAAACAGACAACAACCATTCTCTCTCCTGTCACATGTAATAGGTCAGGACAATGTAAAAATCCTTGTTTTTGTTATTCTCACAGCCCTGTCTGCCATGTATTATTTCTTGTAATTCCACTGTCCTAAGAATGCTCTAAAAAGACTGCCAAAACATCTTCTTACATGCAATATACTCAGAATAGGCAAAACCTCTTTCATCCAGCAACAACATAAATATATATATATAATTAAATAAATGCCTTTAGGAGTATTTTGATAATATATTATAAATGAGTTTATCTCAAATCAGACAAGCAAAAACTAAACTTAAACTCTGTAAAAATATGATCTGTATTACTTAGGACATAATTCCAAACACCCCTGAAGAAGATAATAACCTAAGTTTTAGTCAGAATTTCAGAATTACAATAAAAAATATTATCAGAAAAACATGGCTATAAAATATCAAGGAAAATTTTCAACTTACATATGTTGTTTTTTTAAAACTTGAAATAGCTGATTCACTTTGTTCCATAGCAGAAACTAACACAACACTGTAAACCAATTATACTCCAATAAGATAAATAAAAAATAAACTGATGAGATACTAAAAATAAAAAAATTTTTTAAAGATTTGAAACAGATTTTGCAATGAACACAAACATAACCACTATCACAATTTCAGAAATTAATAGTTTTCTTAAACAACTTGATTTATTCATTAATGTAAATTTTTAAAAGCATTATACATCACTGAGGAAAACATTAACCCCAAGAAAAGAAAAGGAAGAAAGAAGCAGGGAGGAGGAAGATAAAGGGATTGCACAAAACATGAAACATAAAATGTCAATAATTATGAAAAACACAAGTTTTAGTATGGTCAATAACCAAAGAAATTAAAATTTAAACTATAATGAGACATTCCTCTTAAGTACAAAAGAAGCAAAGTTTCATACTCAAGTTTATGAGAGAGCATGGACATACACACCTTAGGTCCACTTCAGGTAGCAATGTAACTAATAGGACATTTCTGGAAGGAGTAGCATTATTAGAAAACTTCACTTATTTTGCTTGCTTGTTTATTTGCTTATCTTACTTATTTAATTTTTAAAGAAACCTTTTAAAAAGTTCACACCCTTTGATTTAGCAGTACATGAAATGTATACACAAATATTTCAAGTGCAACATGATTTAAAATGACGACAAAGAGAAAACAACTTTCCAATAACATAGCAATATTGAATATGTGACACATCAAAATAATAATACATATGCAGCTAATATTTGTAAAAATCTTTAATAACTTTAAAAATAACTTACATACTCTAGTTACAAACAGGAAATTCAATGAACCTATACAAATTTGAAAATAGAAAAGGAATATGGCAGAAAACTGAAATATTTATCTCTAAGAATAAATGGGTTATTTTTGTCTCTATATTTTTCAAAATCTTATGCAGTAACCATATTTACATATATCCCAAAAGCAGCATATTGGTAAATGTTTAACATTTTAAGGGGTTAGAGTAGGGATGTTGATTTCGACGGTATAAATATTCTCACCGTGGCTAATTTCAAATTACCAACGGTTTCAGAGTTAGCTTGCAAAATTCCTGAAAACTTATTAATCAGCTCTGGCAAGGCAGTACAAACCGCAGCACACCACATATCCAAAAGTGTACAAAATGCATAAATAATGATGATGATTTAAACCACAAATACAAAAGCAAGTAGCCCTCAAAATAAAAAAGATCATGTTATAAAATCTTAAAAAAAAAAAGATGAAAGATAACTGTAAAAAGATATAAATTATACTGAGACTTCCTAGGAATATCAAAATGATACATACAGTCAGCTACTACTGTATTGAAAGGAAAAAAAGGCAGGCAATTCCTAATAGTATTTATGGGTCACTTGTTTACTTACTAAGCCATTCATTTAACCATAATATTTATTGAGAATCTCTTAGGCCTACTATTCCGCGCTCTTGGGACATAGCTGTGAATAAAACGAAGTCCCTGCTCTCATGGAGCTTACATTCTAGTCTATCACAGGTATTGCACAACCTTTTCCTCATGACCAATTGGTACTGAATTTTCCTGAAACAGGAATACTAAAATAAGTAAGATTAATATGAATGAGAAGCAAGGGCACTGCATATTATCAGTTAGTTTTTAAAGAAAAGAGAGATATGGGGTAAGAAAAGTTTGTTTAAAAAAAAAGAAAGACACGTGAAAGGGAAGTAGAAAATTTTAAAGCAATGGCCCACCACCTCCACGCAGACAAGCATCTCTTCCTTATTCCTGATGCAACAGTCCAACTCCATAAGCCACATGAGACCTATGGACCAGCCAAGTTCCTGCCTATAAGATTAAGCAACAGTATGGGACCACCACCTTAAAATATTCTCTTACTTTTGCAGGAGAACGTTGTTTCCGTTTCTTCTTTTTCTGTAAGTCTACTGGCTCTCTGATTTGTTTTTTGTCTCTCATCAGTTGCTCAGATACATCAGTGAAAGTAATTTCCTGCTTTACACTTATCTGTTTAAAAAAAAAAGCCAATTTTAGAAATAAACAAAAAGTCCACTGTGACAAAGAGCCATTGTATGCTTAATTCTTTGCTAAATCTACATACAGATGTTCCCAAAAAGATTACTTGTGTGTGCAAGTAAATAGTGTGTTGAATAATTCAATAGGTAATTGACATATAAGAATCAACAGTATATAAATTGAAGGTACAAACTAGGATTTTACAAAAATTTATCTGGAAAAAAAAGATTAAAGCTGTCCTGGGAAAAAATAAGACCTGGGAGAATAAAGTAGAAGTGAGGAATAATTTCACTCCCCTATGTAAGAAAACTGAGGTTAAAAGCATTAAAAAAAGGTTGTAAAATACTAGGGGACCAGACTTCATGATAGGTCTGAATTTGTCAATTTGTCAACTGGTAAAACATCACAAAAACAACAAAAAATTCTAAAAGATAATTTCATCAAAAAACGGAATGATAATCTAACAATAAAATTTAATTATATTTAAGTTCAACGTTTCTGGCAATATCTTAACCAGTATTTTCACAGGCTCTACAAAAAACCATCACCAAATGTGTGTTTCTGGAATTACATATGGTTTTAGGCCACAGCTATGTACAAGACAATTCTAACTACATAATAAGCAAAGAAATACTACAAGCATTAAGATGTCAAAACATTATCTCATCTTTAGATCTCAGTTCTCAAAGATGTGACGATATGTCCTAATATGTGGAGTGATGGTAGCATCAATTCTCATCAGAACTGATGGTACATAGTCCCCCACTGCTCACCACTACATTTTCAAACTATCCTTGAAATGAAAACACAAGTATATTAAAACTAAGAAACTTTCAACTCAACAGGCTCTGAAATACATTTAAAATCCTTGACCCTTCAATCAGAAGAACACGACAAGAAGTCTGCAACCTGGAAGGGGATGCTCACCCAACCATGCTGGCACTCTGATCATGAACTTCCAGCCTTCAGAACTGTGAGAAATAAATTTCTGTTGCTTATAACCTTTAAAAAATAATCTTGATTTTAAAAAAAATCTTGATAATACTCCAGGAAGTACAATCTGCTAATGGCTATATTTTCAAAAAACACACTTAGAAGGGGGTGCTAAAGGTTATAAACATCTTACAGACTTACAGTTTAAAGTCAGAAGACATAGCTGCGTAGAAGGGTTCATGAGGGAAATGCAACATAAGTCAGGGATTTCAAACTGACAAAATACAGAATTGGAAGTTTTGATAAATTTCTGAAATGTGGGCAGCATAGAACTGTAAATCAAGGAGAACTTAGGCATAAAAACATGCCTGTAAATGATTATTTAGCTAATAATTCAGCTTAGAGAATAGTACTAGTGACCATTCTTGTGGGTTCTTTTAGTGTAATTATTTGAAATACAAAATAGAATGATAAAGTCACCTCCAAGAAGGCTTCAGAATACATACGTTACCATCTCTGAAGTGATATTTACTGAAACACAGCTACTGAGGCTGGATATGGGACAAGGAGAAGCGACAACAGACTAAGCAGCTATTGAACTGCTCTCTCTTATGTTGCAAGGGCACCAAAAAGTAGTTTCAAACATTTCTGTTGGCTGATAAATTACAAAAAACCCACGAAAATACAGAACGCAGCAATAAGAAAGAATAACATTTTTTAGCAGAAGTGTCAGGTAGAATGTAAGACAGATTCACAAATAAGTTCTGCCATTAGCAGCTATTTAAACCTAGCAAAAGCCTTTATGTGCAAATAGTGAAAAAGATTAATATATACATCTGAACCATTTAGCTATTTCTACACATATGGAGAGTGATCATATTGGTACTAGCACCGACAAATATAAGGTACACTTCTAACATAATGAAAGTATAGAACCAAACTTAGAAGTATCAATGAATCAAAGCACTGTGACTGCTAATAAGCACACAAAAGCTACATTTTTAGAATACTCCAACAGGCTTATCACTCATAAATGAAATAAGGTAATCTCTACAAATAATACAACCACAAACTAAAGTATATGGTCCATGCCTTAAAAAGAAAAAAAGAAAGAAAAAAAAAAAACTAATAACACTAATAAACTAATAAAATGGCACATATTAGGCTCAACCTAAATGAATGACACAGGGCAGGAACCAAATGCAGAAACTCATGAGATTTGAAATAACTGCAAAAAGCTGTCTGGATTGAATAAGAGACTTAATCAGAGCTGCAGGTTTCTCACACTATCCCCTTTTTATTTTCTTCTTCCAATAAACTTCCTACTCTGCCCAACAACTCTCTTCCACAGTTAGTAATGTTAATAAGCAATTCAACAAATGTAGGCATACCTAAAGTAACATTTCTAGACATAGTATGTGATGAACATTTGATGTGGTTTGCAAATTTTGGTCTACTCCTAACTCCCAAACAAAGTGACCCCTTACAATCATTTGGACTCTTCTTAGTCTTTATTCTTAATAACCTGTGTCCATATCCAATTCAAGCTTTACAGCATTATAATCTACCAATGTATTCTTCCCCAAATAAACTAACACAAGACTGCTTTATTGCCATTTGCCCAGTGAAGAATATACAAGACTCCTCCTTACTGCCCCTGCTATCAATTATACTCTTCCCCAGCTCAGCTTTTAAGAGTCTGCATGATCTCCTTTACAGTCAAGACCTGGGTCACTTGGCAGAAGTATCTGTCCTTACCATCTCTCCATTTCTGAAGTCATATGTTCCCTTCAATTTTCAACTTCACTTTTAGGTATTCTCAGTCATCTTCCCACCCCTGTTTAAGAAAAAAGAAAGCGTCTTTGTGCTTTCCTCTATACTCTGTGCTGCTGATTCCATTACTACCCATCTTTCAGGCTCTGCATCTTCACTGTCTCTAAAACAATCTCTCTTCACCAACTACTTCTCTGCCTAAAAGTACATTTAAATTTACCCTGTAAAATAATTTCTCGTGGACCAAAATATCTCCAACAACTTCCATTCTCTTACGGCCCAACTTTTTGAAAGAACAATCTGAAGTAAGTATATAATATATAAATAATTGCCACCAAACTTAGAGAAGTGGTTATTCTGAGAGTAAAAATAGTACACAGTCATATAAAAAGAATGTGTTTAACTATCACTAGAAACTATTCCAAAATATTGCCTAGGAAACAAATAGAATCAAAGTGACCACAAGTACAACAAAGTCTTTAAATGTAAAGAGAACGATATAAAACATTAACTGTACTGTAAATATACAGAAAAAGCAAGAGAGTTCCAGAAAAACATCTATTTCTGCATTATTGACTATGCCAAAGCCTTTGACAGTGTGGATCACAATAAACTGTGGAAAATTCCAAAAGAGATGGGACCAGACCACCTGACCTGCCTCTTGAAAAACCTGTATGCAGGTCAGGAAGCAACAGTTAGAACTAGACATGGAACAACAGACTGGTTCCAAATCCGGAAAGGAGTACATCAAGGCTGTATACCGTCACCCTGCTTATTTAACTTATATGCAGAGTACATCATGAGAAACGCTGGGCTGGAAGAAGCACAAGCTGGAGTCAAGATTGCCAGGAGAAATATCAATAACCTCAGATATGCAGATGCCACTACCCTTATGGCAGAAAGTGAAGAAGAACTGAAGAGCCTCTTGATGAAAGTGAAAGAGGAGAGTGAAAAAGTTGGCTTAAAGCTCAACATTCAGAAAACTAAGATCATGGCATCTGGTCCCATCACTTCATGGCAAATAGATGGGGAAACAGTGGAAACAGTGGCAGACTTTATTTTTTTGGGCTCCAAAATCACTGCAGATGGTGACTGCAGCCATGAAATTAAAAGACGCTTGCTCCTTGGAAGGAAAGTTATGACCAACCCAGATAGCATATTAAAAATCAGAGACATTACTTTGGCACATCTAGTCAAGGCTATGGTTTTTCCAGTAGTCATGTATGGATGTGAGAGTTGGACTATAAAGAAAGTTGAGCGCAGAAGAATTGATGCTTTTGAATTGTGGTGTTGAAGAAGACTCTTGAGAGTCTCTTGGACTGCAAGGAGATCCAACCAGTCCATCCTAAAGGAGACTAGTCCTGGGTGTTCACTGAAGGGACTGATATTGAAGCTGAAACTCTATACCTTGGCCACCTGACATGGAGAGCTGACTCATTTGAAAAGACTCTGATGCTGGGAAAGATTGAGGGCAGGAGGAGAAGGGGACGACAGAGGATGAGATGGTTGGAAGGCAACACCGACTCAATGGACATGGGTTTGGGTGGACTCCCGGAGTTGGTGATGGACAGGGAGGCCTGGCATGCTGCAGTTCATGGGGTCACAGAAAGTCAGACACAACTGAGCAACTGAACTGAGATATACTGCCTCAATAATGTTAGCAATATCTGAAAGAACTCATGGAATCCAGGAAAAGAGAAATTTAACACCAAGAATATATCCCTATGGAAATGCATGCATGTGTTTATTTCCAGGATGGTTTTGGAAATAACAAATAAAACCAGTCCACAGGAAGGTTTCTAACTCCAAGCTCACCAATCCACAGGAAGGGGCAGCAGCACACTGACGGACAGACCTTGGAGTGACTCACAAACCACAACCCTCCCTTTCTGCCTGACCTGACGGCGTGTCAACTTCTGATACGCACTACATTTGTCAGGGCTTGAGAAAGTCCATAACTATCTTTTGATTTTGAAAAGGTTCGGGGACTCACAGTGCACAACAAACATTCTAATCTACTCCTCTATAATACTTATCATTAAAAATTTGTATTTTGGTTGCTATATCAGCATCTTACAATTTAGTAACTATAAGATGAGCTGCAACAAGTGATCAAACCAAATTATCTTACCTGCAATAGTGCAATCCCCATCTTACCCAGAAATCCTATTCTTATAACTTCTGTAGCATCATGGTTCAAGTTCTTCCCTGTTCCTCACAGAAGTTCTTCTGGATCCATCGTTTTACTATATTATGTGCTTTTATTTTGTAAGAGTTTTAGTAAA